TATATCTAGACCACTTTCACTCACAACTATAGATGCGAATATCCTAAACAAAATATTGACAAATAAGTTGGTTTTATCCCAAAGGTAGATTTATATTAGAGAGTGCATTAATATAATTCTCTATTTTACAGGAGTAAAGAAAAACTATGTTTATCTAACTGCATGTAGAAAAATCACTGGAACTCCACATAAGAGAGAGCCGGTGACCCTGCATACATGAGAGGTTCAGAGACAGAAAAAGAAAATTAAGTATATATGACATTCTGAGCCAGGGATGAGGTAAGGCACCTTAGAGATTCACAAGGTCATTTCAGGATAAGAAAGGCAGATGTTCAGTAATTAGTAGTTTGTCCTCAATACAGATAGGTCAAAAGGGATTATTTCTGAGAATCTCTTATTATGGGCAAGGGCCCTTGTTCAAATTCTTCTAAGTAGTTAAGGGGTTGGGAAGGTGGGAGTTTATCTTGAGCCCACAGGGTCTCGGTTGCCTTTAGCTCAAAACAATCCCCGTATCACAGAGGCATATATTGGGGTGACTCATTCTGAACCCCTACAGCCTCATGCTGCACTCCTCTGATGTTCAGCTCTGGATCTCTACTTCAGGAGCCGTGGCAAGGCTGCAGCCCACTAACATCCCCCGGCCACCATGGCCAACTCTCTGGCTGGCGGACTTGAACAGGAACCACGTTCCAGTCCCCCTGAGGACTGGGGAGTTTGCGGAGTTGGGGAGAAGGCAGTTCTGGTCTCCCCTTCGAGCTATACTTCACCAAACTCTCCCCATTTCCTTTTGCCCTGCTGTGTAGTGTGATGTGGGTGATACCAGCAGGTCCTCGGGCTAGGCAGATGTCCCACACAGACACTGTCTTTCCCTTTGTGCAGCGCCTCTTAACTCCCTGAGTGGTTCTGCTGCACTCCTTCCTTCCCTTGGCTTCAGGAAGTAGAGGCTCTCTTTCTCCAGCCTCCTGGGAACATTGGCTCACTAACTGATTCTTGCTCCTAACTCTCATACCCCATGTGGGGCTCAAGGGAACTCCTAGATATTTTTCTATACCAGCTGAAAAGGTATAGGAATTCAAAATGACACTCACTCTGTGCTTAACATTTCTCAAAACAATCTGGTCATCAGAATTTCCGATGGGACTGTCAAGGCCAGGTCCTCTTTGCTGTGATGAGGGTCGTGAAGGAAAGGGTAAGGTACACGGACAGATGCATGTCTAAGCTCTCCCTTAAACTTCTCTTCCCTCCGCAATTCCCCTGGAAGAAGGGGCAAAAAAGGCCTTACTCTGTCCACTGACATTTTTTCCCCATGATTTTCTTTTTACCTGGGTGGCAAATTTTTAAATTTAAAAACTGAGACTTTAGTATCTTTCATCTTTGCCGTGGACAGTTTCTAAAACAGTCATTCTCAATCTTGGAAGCACATCAATATTACTTAGAAAGCTTTCAAAAACCTAATCAAATCAGAATATCTGGGGAGTGGAGAGAATATTCTGCCACATGATGCAGAAACTCAGGCACAGAAACTTGCTTTAGGCTACACAGCTAGTAATTATCAGCGTGAGACTCTAACAGAGCCCTAAGGCACATGTCCTCCTTCAGTGTATTAGTAAGGTTCTTGTGTCAAAGCTGCATACTTTATCTGTCTTTCCTGCTCCTTCTTCTCATTTCTGTGCCCTGTCACCTCCTAAGGGCACCCTCAGCACCTTATGTTACAAGTGACCTGGAACTGGATTAAGCAAGGACTGTTGAATACATCTTCCCTTTGGACATTTATGATTTCTACTACATCCCACCTCTGCAGAAAGATCAATTCTGGAGTAGCGAACCAGTATTTCATTGACTTAATCAAACACCTACCCTTCGTTTTCCATGTGGAGTAGCTACAAAGATGAACAAGATGGTGTAGATGGCTGTTTTACTAAGCTTTAAAAAATTAAAGAAATTCACCATCATAAGTTACGAAGCAAAGGAAGGACATAACAATAGTCTCTCTTGGCTAAATCATTATTCTGGGGCTATGCAACATACCTGATTAATTCCGTCATCCTTCAAGACTCAGTGAGGCACACATCTTCAAAGAAACATTCCCTTATCTCTTCAGCAGTCTGGATTAGAAGACTTCCCTCATTGCTAATGTGCACACTGGACTTACTCTGGCATAGCACATATAGTACTGCCCTGTTTTATAAAGCGTCTGTGTATCCCTCCTTCTCACCAGATCACGAACTCCCTGGGTAAAAAGGAACGTGCCCTTTACTTGTATCCTCAGCATCTAGCACAGTCCCTGACACAGAGAGTATTCAATAAATATTTCTGAATTAATATCAATATTTTATTTTTATAAACAATGGTAAAAGACAGTAAGATGGTAGTAGCTTAAAATTTTATAAATCTGAAAAATGAGTCAGAGTGTAGATGAAGGTTAGCTGTCTCAAGCTGGAAAGTCATTAACTATTTTTAGCTGTTTTTAATAGCTGAGAGTCATCTCGGTGTTTAATTTCCAGTGTAGAGGGAACAGAACAACTGAATAGACTCACTGATTCTGATTCGTCACTTGGATCATCCATGGTCATTCTTACCAAAAGCCTTGGTGTTCTACAGAGCAATTTAATATCAGTGATTACAAATCTGGGATATCTTCAACATAAAAAATACATGTTTATACATATGCCAAGAAATCATGAGTGTTCCTTTTTTCAAGCAAAAATGTAAGACTCCATTAATGTTCATTAGTCTATACTTTTACAATAACTTGGGCATGGATAACATAGAACCTAATGGTTAGTTAATTGTTTATTTAATAAATCTTCTTTGAGCTATGAATCTGTATAAGGTACTTTGGCAGGAAATATAAGGGACTCAGTATGGGACTTGCCCTTGACCCTGACAGATTTTTACCATCTATTTTAGGAAAGAAACAAAAAACTGAAAAAAAAAAATGGTGAACCAATGTAAATAATACTATATTTCATTTTAGATGAAGATTGCATAGATGTGAAAAAAGAAAAGGTGGGGAGAGCTGTAACAGCCAAAGACCTGAGCAGATGAGACATGGGCTGATGTTTCTTAGTCTCTGCCATGCTTTTCAATTACATTGCCAGGTCAGGCTTGGAACAGAACTGTTTCTAGTTTTTTCTCTAAAATCGAGACGGTTTCATTACCTACAGAGATTCCTATGGGGTTTGGGTTAGAAAATATACATACATAGTTGATGCTTATTATTTGCAGATTCCGTATTTGTGAATTTGTGTCCTCATTAAAATTTATTTATGACACCAAAATCAATACAGCACTTTCATGGTCATTCTCAGACATGGGCAGAGCCCCGAAAATTTTAAGCCGACAGATGCACACAAGGCTAAGTTCTACCTTCAGCCTTCAGCTCTCAGACTGTAAACAAGGACCCTTTTCATGGACCACAAATGAACCATTTTTGTGCTTTCGGTGTGGGGTGATTTCGCCATTTAAAGTATAATGCTGAAGTGCTGCCTAGCGTCCTAGGGAGAAAATAGGTAAGTTTAAAAGGCTTAATAAGTTTAATTCAGGTATGAGCTATAGTGCTGTGTGTGGTGAGCTCAGTGTTAATGAGTCAACAATGTTAAGTAAGGTGTCTTTAGAGAGAAACACATAAAACAAGGTTATATGTTGATTAGTTGACAAAAACGTTGGGTCCACAGGGTCAGAGTGGCGAAACTGTATTTCCACCTGGAGCAGCAGTTCAGTATTGTAAGCCCCTCCCGTCCTCTCTCCCGTGGTATTTGCCCTAGTACAACAGAATTCGGGCCCTACTTGAGCTTGGTTAGACATTGATTGGGCCTGAGCACGCGCCCTCAGCCAGGAGTGGGCGCCCTCGGCCTCCAACACGGAGTTACCGGCAGATGGCGCCCAGCGGTGGGCTCCTTCCCAGCGCAGTCTGGGCCAGGTGGACTGTAAGGGGCGGAGGTAACCAAAAGCGGCCAGTGGTGTCTGCCCAGTGGTTCCCCACCCCCTGTACGCAACGACAGGGTTGGGGCGCAGGCGGCTGGGCCAGCTGCGTTCTGAGCTCGGGCACCGCTGTCTGCTTCTCTGCGAGCGCGCCCCCGCTGCGTTCAGCCCGAAGTCGGCCACCATGGAGGCGCAGGCACAAGGTGAGTGGTCACTCGCCGATCGCCCTGAGGGTCAGCTTCGGGGCGCGCATGAAGGTGTTTTTCTGTATCATCTAACTTCTCAGACAGAGTGGAGCGGTGCCATCTTCGCACGTCCGCAACTCTGCTCCAACCCGCGCCTGCAGGATAATTCCTGCTCCCCAAACACAGGGTTTGCTGTGGGGCTGGGGGGCCAGCGAAGGAACCCCTAACTAGAGAGGCTCCTCCGCAGGAAATGCGCCCACGGAATGCTCTACCTCTTTTCCCTAGCCAGTCGCCCCAACACCCCCACCCCCACCCCCGCCCCGGCCTCCTGAACCTCGCGGGTGCCCAAAGAACCTGTTGTGCAGGGTCGGGAATCCGCGTTCGTCCCTTTTCCCTCGGGGCAGTAGGGAGGAAGCTCTACTCTTCTAGCCCTGAGCGGTGGGCTCGCGTCTTGCAGCTCCCAAGTTCTGGGCTGAGGGCGGCGCGCGCGGAGGTGGTCGCGCTGCGGAGACCGGGGTCTCCCGGATACGCGAGGGGTTCGCAGCGCGCGGATCGGCCTTCGCCAACCACGAGAGCGTTGCCCGCACGCTGATCTCCTGCAGATCGACACGTGTGTCTCTGTTTCCCACGGTCGGGGATCGCCCACAGCCTCCCCAGGCAGCCCTGTGCCTCCTCGCCCCCTGGGAGGATGTGGAACACGAGACTGGGAGGATGGACTCCGACTCTGGTGTCTGTATTGAGAGCAACGCTAAGAAGGGATGGGTTGAGGAGTTCAGCTTTCTTCAGCCTTTAAAACAATCATCACCACCTTTCTTCTACAGTATAGGAAATTCTGTGATGGCTTTTAAGATAAAAGCCCGTTTAAAAAAAAAAAAAGAAGAAGAAGAAGAAGCGGTCCATGACCCTATGAGCTCGCCCTCTAGGGGCAGAAGCGTCCTGAATGAGAGCGGTTTGGTTGGTGCACGGGCCTGGAGCCATCCAACAGGTTTGCTGCAAGGATTACAGTTGTCTGAACAGTGAAAACCAACCTCATTTGTTCCATCAGCCAAGATTCTGTCCAGAAAGCTGCTGCTTGCAGTCCCTCCCCGCCCCCATTTTCTATATAAGAAAGGAGAATTCAACCAAGGGCGGGGGTGGGGAGAGAGCGGGGTTGGTCAAATTCAAAAACAGAGGTCGCCTGGAGGTCTTCTCTCCTGAATTGAAGCAGATGAGAACAACACTGGAGCTTTCCAACCTGTCTTGCAAACTAGAATTATTTGGAGAGTTTTAAATACTGGCCATGGCTAATCCCAGACCAATTAAACTGGAATCTCTGGGGCCTGGGTATGGGTATATATGAAAGCTTCCCAGGTCACTTTATTGCTCTGTGAGCTGGAGAAAAACTACAGCAGGTAGAAAACGTTCATCGGAATCCTGAAGACACCTGAAACAACCGATTGGACTTACAGATGTCATGGGTTTACTTGTGAGATTTACTTAACAAACATTGTAGTGTTTTCCTTTGCCAAGCACTGTGCTAGGAGAAGCAAACAGACTTGATTTTTGTTTCCTGAAATTTACAGTAGAGGAAGAGACAAAAATTAATTTGATTGTTATCTGATGAATGTGAAATTGTTTATGATATGAAAGAGGGCCACATAGTGCAAAGAGAACCTGAAAAACTTTCGGCCTGGTAGGTGATAATCAAAATAATGTTTATTTACTGTGTCTGCATTAATGTTCTTTGTGCTTTACCTGTGTGTTGACTCATTTCTTCACAACAGTCCCATCAAGTAGGTAGTGTTTTCATTCCCATTCTGCAGAGAAGGAACAGGCACAGGATGTAAATTCCTTGTAAATCAAGTAGGTAGTGAGTAGCAGAGTTGATGCTGTGAACGCTCTTTCCCACTCAAAGCCTACTACTTTAGAGAAAAGATAAAAAAGTCTCTGCCTACTCTCCCCTGCCTTCTCTGCTACTTCCCCTTCCCCTCATGACTAGTTGGAACCTGAGTGGATGGGGAGGACATTTTTTTTGTCATTTAAGCAGCTGACATATTAAATTCTTTCAGAATAAAACTTTTCACAAAATATTTACAGAGAAAATCTTCATTCTACATGGCATATTTTTTTCTGGCTAAATGAATTGCCTCTTAGATTCTGAGAGAGTCCTGTGTGTAAGTGTATATCATCAGCACAATTTATTATAGAATTATTTATAGTGTGGATGGCTTATCTTTCTGCCTCTTGATCTAGAGAGAGGAAAGAGGAGTGAGGTTAAGTAGGCAGCTGCTGATGACATGTCCCCTGTATTTTTCAGGAGACCACCCAGGTGCTATGGACATTCTTTGCACATATAGTTCAATAAATGAAGCAGTCTGCCTTAGAGACTTTTTCATAAGTGAAATGCTGCTAATATGTTGTTTGACTTTGTAAAACAAAAGATTACTTCTAGCAAAAGAAAGCACATTCTGGGAAGTTGGTAGAACAGGAAATGCAGAAGTGGGATTATGAGCAGAGGGGTTCAATTAGGAGGGGCTGGAGAATAACGTGGAATCGAAACCCACAGGATGCCAGCATTCCCAGTTGCTTTCCTGGTATTAGAGAATTTTCCTTTAATATATTAGAGTAGGAATTTGGTTAGGGATATAGCATTTCCTGAAACATGTGGCTGTCCTTTAAAATAAAAAGTTTCTGACCTTTTTAAACTATCTTTCTATATTTCATTTTTCTAGGAAATAACTTTTTGTCTTTCTACTGTCTTTAATGTTTAAAGGACAATTTTCTCTCCACTTATCCCTTCTGTATATATTCAGATGAATATATTAGTTTCCTATGACTGCTATAACAAATTCCTACAAATTTAGTGGCTTAAAACAATAGAAACTTATTCTCTTATAGTTCTGGAGCCTAGAAGTCCAAAATCATTATCACTTGACCAAAATCAAGATATCAGCAGGACTTTGCTTCCTCTGGATGCTCTAGAAAGAATCCATTCCTTGACTCTTCCAGCTTCTGGTGGCTGCCAGTGGCATTCGAATAAATTTTTTCTTTGGGAAAAGAAAAAATTTATCATTCCAATATCTGCCTCATTCCAGTATCTGCCTCCATGCTCCTACTGCCTTCTCTGCTGTCTGTGACAAATCATCCTCTGCCTCCAGTTGTTAAGAACACTTATGATTTCATTTAGAGCTCACCTGGGTAATCCAAGATAATCTTCCTATCTCAAGATCCTTAATTTAGTCACATCTACAAAGACCCTTCTCCTATATAAGGTACCATTTACAGGTTTCAGGGATTAGGACCTGATCTTGGGGGCCATTATTCAGCCAGCTGCAGTAACTATTTTTTATATTCAGATATTCTACTGAGAAGAGTTCTCAGAAGTCCATGAATGACATAAAGTAATAAATGCCAGATTAATCTTGCCTGATTGCAAATTCCACTAAAGTAATAATGACATATATACCTTACATTATGCTTTGCTCCCAGGACATTTATTTACCCTCATCTTGCTCCAGGAAGAACTTAGGGCATTTTATACAGATATATGAAACACAGCAAGGTAATATAATTAGAAATAGAAGAAACAAGAATAAGAACAGAAAATGAAGCAAGGAATGAAGTGCTAGAAAAATAAATACAATTATATCCTTTTTATCAGTATTGCATGGAAAACAAATTATTGCTTCATAAATAAAGTGTGTTATTTTATTATAAAACAATTCCATAGCAACTGGCCAAGTCACTTATATTGTCGGGATCAGATTTCCCAAAGGAAAAATTTATTTTGTAAATTTTAGGCAATAGACTCATAAACCTCAAACAATGGAAGCTAGGTGTTATACATTTTGATTTATGAATTTTAAAAGTATTGTTAAAAACATTCTTACTATCTTCTACCTCCTATTGTTTTATTTTCCCTCCAAATAAAAGTTTTAATGTAGATAGTGATGTATACATAAGATGAAGTCAATCATTTGCAACAAACCATATACTATTGTTGCAATTAAAATTCTTATTAAATCTAATAATACAAATTATAGACATTGTGGTATATGGAAACCTACTTTAAATTGCCTTCCCTAATATGCACCTTGTTTTCTTGATACCCTTGGTGGGCAGAATCTGAGAAGTTGCTTCAAAAAACTTAGAAGCAAGAGAGTCCATTTTTGTGGCCTATGTTAAGAGTTGATATTTAGTGAGCTATAATAAATAATAAGTACTTCAGCAAATATTGAGTCATTTAATAAATATTTGACCCAATATTTATTGATTACTGTAGTAATAGCAAATTTTCAACAAGCACTTAATATTGAGAAATATTAGAGGATAGTGGTTAAGATTCCACAATTAAGGCAAACTGCCTGGATTTTAATCCTGCCATTGTCACCATTAATATGACCCTGTGCAAGTTACTCGATCTCCCTTGGCCTTCGTTTTTCTACATGTAAAGTAAGGATAATAATAGTGCCTAGATCATAAGATTGTAATGAGGATTTAATGAGTTAATACAAGCAAAATTCTTAAAGCAATCCCCAGTACATGGAAAGTATATATAAACATTTGCTTTTGATTTTAGTAGCATATGTCAAGAACTTTACATGCATTATCTTATCAAATCTTTATAATAACACCATGAGATAGATATCATTACATTGAACACATTTATAGACAGGGAAACAGAAGGTCAGAAAAGTTAAGTGAAGAAGGTGGGATTCAACTCCAGGCCTATCTGAGTCCAGAATGTGAGCGCCACCGCTGTACGACACTGCCCCTCAATATGCACAGGGCAACATATGCCAATGGGAAACAAAGATGAATTTAACATGGGTCACCTTCCCGGGGAGGGTAGCAAAGAAGAGTCATCCCTGTGGGTAATGGCCCATAGAACTGACGAGCTGCCGCATTTTATTCCCAATGGAATTCGTAGAGTACTTACGTGCTAATTAGAAGAAATTCATGTTGAGGGTGTTAATAACAATAATATTTTAGTGTTTGTTTTAAAATGTCAGATACCATGCTATGCACTTCAAAAATCA